CCTCGAGGATGTACCCGGTGGGCGAATCCAACGCGACGGTAGTATAGTCGAAATTCTGTGCGTCGTCGACCCATGCAAAGTCGGCGTAGGGCAACGGTTGGCACATCGCCCAGCCGTACAGGTTGTTTACGTCGTAATACATAAGGTACGACGACGGTTCCGACGGGTCGTACGCCTGCATGTACTTATTATTGGCCCGCGCGTATCTGCCGGAACACTGGCTGAGACCTCCGCGTATGCCGCGCTCGACGAACATCACTATATCTATGTCTGTGAGTAACTCGAACTTCACGCGCGTGTGTTTAAGCATCGCGTCCCACGTGAAACCGGGCAGGGTGTAGTAATGCGCGGGATCGAGTCCGTAACTCGCAACTGTCTCGAAAGTTCTCAAACACATCGGCCAACAACAGGACGTCAGTTTTTAAGTAGAGATCACTGTACTCGCCGAGCGTTCGCACGGAGAACCGCTGCCACACGTTCTCGGCGTGCGCGTAATCGCTCTCGGACACCGTATCGCCCGTCAGCGAGCTGTGGAACGATTCGCGCGGCGGCAAGCGCGTATCGTTCAGTCTCTCTACGCTGTCCACGTACTCGTAGGGGAACACCCCTTTACGAGTGAGCAAATCGAAGTCTTCGTCCGATAGAGCCAAAAATTCGGAACGCACGATTTTCAGTTTGTCCTTGTCGAGGTACGACGCCAATTTGTCCAGACCCGCACTCAGAAACTTATACGAGTCTATGAACCGTAGTTTCACGCTCTTTCGCGAGTCTTTGTCACTGGTGTCTTTGACGTGTTTCGTAAAGGAGATGTACTTCTCCTTGGTCAGGGGAAGTAGATCCACCTGTCCCTGGAATCGCGTCGCTATTTCCTGTACGACGAAGTGCGCGTCGTACCCCGACAGGTTGTGAAATACAACCGGAATGTACGGAGAGTCCTTGTAGTTCACGTTGCAGCCCTTGTGCGTCGGACCGCGGTATCGCCCGGTGAGGTGACAGTGCGCGCCCGCTCGTCACCCGGGGCGAACGGCCTCTCGCAGATGTGGCAGTGCGTCGAATCTCCGCCAGTCGTCGCGCGTGAAGTCCATGGGCCGGTTGGTCGTTATTATATTTTTCACGCGGTGCGCCAAAGCCTCTAGCTGGCTCGCGAACCAACTGACGCAGTCGTTGCCCCGCCGACATCTGTACTCGGATAACGCGCTGTCGTACGAGCAGTGCACGTAGTACGCGATACTGAACGCTTCGTGCCGCTGGTACGCGTACGACGACCCAGCAGCAGCAGCGTCTTCCGTCTTCTTCAGCACACACTCTAGGTCGGCGTATACCACGAACGGTGCCCGCTCCTTCCTGCAGTACTTGCGGAACTCTAGCCATTTGTCGTCTGTGCTCGGTAGGCGGATAGCGCACGTGTTGAGCTTTTGGCAGTCCTCGCTGTGCCTCTCCAGTTTCTCGTTGGAGGAGAAGTAGTGGAGGCACCTGCAAACAACAAACACTTATTAGTACAACATTCTTTTTTTTATGCTTAATATTGTATTTTACTTATCGCACTTACCGGTCGCAGAAGTATTTCTTGTGCCCATATTTGTTAATCTGCGCGCTCACGAGGCGGGAGAGATGTTTGATACACACGAAGTGACCGTCGCCGTCTTGCACGTACAGGAGGTTGACGTGTCTGTCCCTCTTGCAGTCAGTGAGCCGCAGAGGGAAGACGTTCCCGTCCTCGATGCCGTACACGTTAATCGAGATATCGTTCGACCGCTCGAATTTCGCAACGTCCTTGAGCGTTACCGGAAACTCGATATCCGCGAAGTTGAGCACTTTGGAATAATGCGGATACGACGATTCACGTTCCGTGTTTCTTTTCGCGGGGTACAAAGCAGCGACCACCGCCCACGCGAAGCACGCATTGTCCATGGATCGCACGTTGATCACTGCTTCCTTCCTTTTAAATTTTTCCGGCAATGTAACGTGACACCCCGCGCGCATGGGATTGAGTTTATTCACGTTGACCGTCAGGTTCAGAATACGCGAGAGCGCCCACCCGCTGTCGCGTTCCTGGTGCTCATCGAGCGACGCCAACGTGGGCTCGATAACGCGCGACGCGTACCACTCGCGCAGATCGGTGCACCGATACAGTTCAGTTTTTACCGTTTATACCCATGACTGTGCGTTTGTCACCCGCGACGAACTCACCGTTAAAGGCGGTGTTCACTTTGACGCTACCATGTATGTCTATAGCGCCCCGCACACGCTCGACCACTACACTACTGGCGTCTTCAAGGAATTGTCGCGGCTCGATATGTCTGGAGTTTATAACGGCACCGGTTAGAACGCGATTGGCGAAAGCGGCGTCGATCTCGCGCCAAGCGAGAGATCTATCGTTCTCGCGATCACCACCACCACCCACGTGCACGAACCGTTGTTCCAACAGTGTTCGCGCACCCTCGAGTCGCGCGATCCTCGCCACCGCGGATTGTCTGTGCCCTACGGTAAGACGCGGACGCTTGGCGCGACACTCGAGGCTCTCGATGCACTCGTTGCACTCGTTGCACCGCTCCAGCCACGCGAAGCACTCGTCCAATGTAGCTACGCGACCGCAATGTTCGAGCAGTTCGCGTTCTAAACGCTCGTAGTCTTCCATTTTAGACAAGAGAGTTATTCGGAGCACTTGCACGCACGCCCTCACGCACTATAGTCCAGCGGATTTTCAAGCACGTCTTTAACGTCTTCCACGAGTTCGTTAAACTCTTGCTCCCACACCTTGTTCACACACTGTTTTTCCCTTTACGCTGTGCAAATCGGGCAGCACGGGAACACCAGACACATCAGTTTGTGGCACTTGGAGCACGTTCCA